GAGATTGAAAATCAGGAATCAAAGGTAGCTTGAAAAGACTTGCTGGAGGACTTGAGTGTTTGTTAATGTAATACACCAGTGAAGTTTAACTAAATAAAAATATTTGTTTTTGGAAAATGGTAGGTCATGTTTTATTATCAGTTTATGGATAAACATATTTTATTGTTTATCATGGCTTACTGGCTTTAGTAAGCTAATTTTTTTAATTCCCAAAGGCCTTTTAGATCTTAGAATATTTGATGTAATTTATATTTTATATTATTGTCCCCAGTGATCAGTTCTAGTGACGATCAAGCCAAATTATTAGGCTGAGGTGTTTGAATGTTGATTTTTTGGATTTCTAGTCTCCAATTCCCCCCAATATATGCCAACACAGAATAAAATTGTCCAAAATGCATGTAAAAGAAGTGTTATGAACACTGACAAGTCCTTGTCTCTCCTTCTGATCGAACTGGTTCATAGAAAATGAAAAAACAAACAAAAAAACAATTATTTTTTGTTCATTGCTATTCTTTATAGGTAAACTTTTCTTTATAACACAATTTCAAAATTTCTTTCTCATTATTCTGTTTTTCATGTTGGTCACCAATATCCTATCCCTTTTAACTGTGTTTTGTTGAAACATATACAGAAGTTTTAATTAGATAAAGCTAATTTGTGAAGAAATAAAAAATAGTTTCTCATCTTTATATTATTTGATATATTAATAAAAGACCCCTTATTTCATATATATACATATATGTCTCTTAGAAAGTTTAGTTTGTGATGAAGTGATAAATGGTTATGCTAGTGCTGAATTTTGGATAGCATGCACTTTAATATAGTTGGACTTCATGTTTTAAACACTTATTACTTACCTAAATAGTGATTATTTTGTTTTCTATTATTCTAAATCAACCTAAATTTCCCCTTAATGGTCACCCTACTATATAATTGATGGAGACAATTCTTAAGGAAAAGAAAGATATTTTAGGACATGTCATGAGATTCTGGTACCAAAACCGGGGTAAGTGATTATCTGTGGTACATGGAGCTCTATTCCAATTCCTTTGCCTTGATGTGACATATAAGGAAATGTAGTTGACACTGTCCCATACATACCAGATTGAGAACAATTTGTGCCCCAAATCCAAAGGACTAATGGGTAGGAAGAGTCTTCTTACAAGTTGAGAGTCAAGGTTTCATGGTTAGAGGGAATAATCAAAACATGCTTTCAGTAGTTGAAAAATAAAAGACTCTTGTATAACTTGTGCATTTTATAGTTCAAGACACAAAGTACCTGGGGTTGTTTTCTTTGCATTAAATTGGAAGATATACCCATTCGAGGGATATTTCAATTTACTTAATGTTACCAATTAAAATTAATTAATGGAGATAAGTTTTACATTTACTAATAAGCAGAGCTCAAATGTATGTAATAAGCATCTTAGGGGTCACAAAAAGTATGTGATAGATAGTTTTAATAGTTTTATAGATTTTTAGAGACAAAATGTTTCATTGTGCGAGCTAATGGTAAACTATCAAGAGGGTTTTAATCTAAATATTCTTTTGGGTACCCCTAGTTTTATATGTCCTAAAGGACTTCATTTACTGTACTAGACTACAGAGCACTAGATTTCATTTTTTAAGAAATCATAATTTATTAAGTGCACCTACAATGTAACTGCAAAATGCATACTGAAATGCTATTCTGCCGTTGGGCTCTGTGGCTTCATGATTCATTCATTTTCCCCTTCTCTTAAGCCATTTGAGTGCTGGCATCTCAAGCTCTAAAGTCAGACTGAAACTGGGTGGAAAGAATACAAATGCTGCACTGGAGCCAGACTCAGGCTGAAGCAGTCATTGTCAATAAGATGAGGTTGGGCAAAATGCATTGACAATGTGGTAAGGAAGAGACATTCTTCCTGAATGCTGCAGCATTCAGGAAAGCCCACCTTAATGGTGAAACACTAGATTTATGCTCATCAACCCAGGGGCCTGTCATTTCTGTGAGATACACCTACAGTTCCAGGTAGTCATAAGCTGTTAAAACAATACTGTGCCTGTGTGTATGTGCATGTGTATATGTGTGTACTGTGTGCGCTTGTCTGCATGTGTCTCTATGCACATGTATATGTTCCTGTATAAGGGTGCCAGGCTGTGTGTGTGCTATATGTCTATGTGTGCATGTCTAAATGTGGATATATGTTCATATGTCCTATAAGTAATAGGCATTAAATTTTCATTAATATGCACATTTTCATATAAATCTGTGATTTAACAGATTGTGGTTTAGTATAATTTATAGATTTCTTTCTTTCTTATTGTAAGATAAGATATATGGTAACAAATTTTGAATAGAAAATTGAACTTATTGCTTACCATATAAGACAGAAACATTCAAGGAATAAGTATGTATAGGTCTACCTTTGTGTATGTTAATATATAGAGACAGATACTTTTCATTCATACTTTATAAAAGTGCAATCTGAAATAGTGAAAAATGATAGCATATTGTATATTCAAACCTTTAAATACTGCACTGGACCTCACTATTTGACCTAAACATGCAAATTTTCCTGTATATTTTGTTCTGTTTATTTTTTCAGAGGGAGGCTTTGTCCTTTAGAAAATGGAAAAATTCCCATTGTGCTACAGTTACAGTCTATGATCGCTTTGGAGCCCTCCTTCACTCTACAGTGACCACCCGACCTGAAGAGCTGTCCTTTATCGGCGCGGCTGGTTGCCTGGGGAGCTCGGGATCAGTGTCCTAGACACAGGAGAATACATGCTCCCATTTTTTTCCTACTGACTGTAAATGATTCCTATTCTTTGCTCCAAAGAACATCCGATTCGGTGCCCAATCAGCTGAACAAGATGCACAGACGTCACTAGTTCTGTGTGTGTGTGTGTGTGTGTGTGTGTGTGTGTGTGTGAGAGAGAGAGAGAGAGAGAGAGAGAGAGAGAGAGAGAGAGAGAGAGAGGAAAGAGAGGAGAAGGAGAACCGAGGAAAGGGAGGGGGAAAGAAAGGAGACAGACAGGAAGAGGGAGACTGCAGCTGCTTGGCTGAGTCTCTGAGTGGAGTCTCCATTCGGGCAGCTCTATTGATTTCTGATTCACACTGCAGCAGTAGGGCTGGAGTGTAGGAGATTAAAAAAAATACATCCCAGAGAAAGAAATCACTGAAGACAAAATGTGTGTGCTTTGTGTGTGTGTGTGTGTGTGTGTGTGTGTGTGAGAGAGAGAGAGAGAGAGAGAGAAATTGTGTGTATATGTATATGCATATAGATAGTTTCATATGAATATCATGTATTTGTAACCAAAAGGAATCATGAATCTGAAAACCAAAAAGATAAAATTAAACATCAGAGGTGTACAATTGTTAATAACAGAAAATAACATGTAGGTAAGCTGAAACATAATGAATTCAGAAAAAAAAACCCTTGGCTCTAACTTTTAAGCCATTTCTATAAGAGATGGTAATATTCTAACTTCTAGAATCACTTAAAAATCTGAAAATTTAATATAGTCAAAAATAAGTTTATTTTAGTGGTAAAATAAAGTTTTATCTATCAATTTTGAAAGAGAAAAACTTTATTTTTATTAAATTTTGTTAGATTATTACATCAGTCAGCTTTCATTTTTCTATCTCGAATACTTTGTGTTGCATAATATCTAGGATACAGTAACAGGCTGGTTGCAAATGCTGGAAACAGAAATAGGTTTCCTCATAGGCTACACTTCAAAGTATCCAACTGTGAGCCTGTGAAGCAGAGTTAGACTTCTCTCAAGGTCTGTTGCCTGGGATTTGGTCATAAATTATTGTATCTAGGTGTAAAAATGTTTTCTTCATTTTCTAAGCAGCTTGAGATTATAACCAGACTTAAGATTTATCAACTGCACAGCCCCTTCCCCGAAAAACATTTTTTTAAAAAAAATAAAAGACTGAAGTAAATTCAGTTGTATAATAATGGTGGCATCAGGCAGACAAGCAGTCTGCATATGAGCAGCGGGATATTAGGGGGAATGAACAATCCATTCTCATCTCCCCCAATCATGCCCACACATGTATGCACACACAGACACACACATATCCCAACGCCAGTCGGTCGAGGGGAAAAAGGGCGATACCTTTTTAAAAGACGAGAGGCAGCAAGCCATTATTAGCAAGAGCTATATTGAGCATGCTTGCCAGACAGGCAGCAAAGCTGAGCTCTAGTTCCGCCCAGACATGTGCCTTGCCATTTTCATTTTAATCAGCCTGCTCAGGATGGCTGCTGATTCATTTTGCAGGATGTCCCCCTGGGAGCCAAGGTGGGAGCCTGAGGCGAGCTGCTATTGCATCAATGCAGCACAACCACATCAGACAGGGAGCACAGAAGACGGAGAGGAGAGAGAAAAAAAGAATTCCGCACACCACATTCCAAATTTCAACACGGCCATTGAAAAGATCCTTCATGAAACCCAGTCCATTACCGAAAATGTAATGAAACAAAAAGGAAGGGGAAAAAATGTGTCACCTTGTCATTTTATTTTTCAATCCACCTCCCCTCCCACCCCCCCCACCCCCTTCAAATGCACGCAGGCGCGAGCGGGCACACGCACACACGCAGACACCCCACATCCACATTATGGCTTGAAATTTTCGTTTTCTCCATGATCCCTGTAAAATGCAGCATATACATCTATATTTTTATTTACCTGGTAGCTAGCTGGGGTGGTATACCTGATTTCGCTGGAGACTTTGATTTGTGGGATTGACAACCTTATTATGCAGTGAGCTTATTATTGATATTATTCTGCTCTCGGTTGCCATGGCCACCTTGTGAGAGACATTCAATTTTCTCTCTTCCATCATCATTATCTATGAGGCCATCTGTTGTGGAAAATGAATTCAGCCTCATTTGCATGACTGATAAGCAATTTTTTTTATCTATTTAACAGAAGGTCATATGCCGGGGATTTGGAGCTCGTGAAAAAAATGTGGAAAAAAAAAGCATATCGAGAGGATGAGTGGGAGTGCGTGCATTAGGGGATGCATGTGGAAGTAAAACAGATCCCTCAGGCCTGCGAGCCTATCGCGCTGCGTTTGTCATTCCTGCCGGGCGACATTTTTTTCCCTTAAGCTACTGCACTCTAAACAGTGAGAGAGCTTTCCCTGCAGTCTTCTTCAAGCCCCTATTTTTTCCTTTCCTCATTGTTTGTGGGTGTATTTTAATTCTTTTTTTTTTTCATTCCCTGGACTATGGGTTAAGATTTCAATATTCACTGAAGACAAAAACAACCTTTTCTGCATCTCGGTGGTAGGCACGTTCCTCATCATCCTTTAAAACTTGTGGGGAAATAGGGTTTTCTTTTCTTTCTGTGTATTTTGAGCCAGCACACTTACCAACCTTGTGGTTGTCTTTAACTGGGGCGGTTGTGGTCATGTTGTGAGGTATGTGATCCTTGTTAGGTTAATTCTGGGGACTTAGTGAACAGGGTCTGTTTTGCTGTAGTTCAAGGGCTTATGCTGCAATGCCTATTGTTTGCTCCTTTTTCAAAGTTATTTCATAGTATGGGTGGTAGCTAAAATGTTTCTTGACTAGACAGTTCATAATCTACAGGAGTGTCTCTTTAAAGCAAAAGGAGTGTTAGATTGCATGCCTTGACAGTGATGTTTATTTAAAAAAAAAAGAATAGAAACTTGCTGCATGAACAGTACTTGAATGATATGCAGATACTGAAACAAAAACTTCCCTGAGACTTCTCTGGATTACTTCACATAGCAAATAGAGTATAATATGTTTGACAAAACTTAAAATGTTAGAGAGCCATTAGTTATACTTGACTAATAGTGAAAAAGTTGACAAAATTTTTAAGAATAAAGAGACTTTAACTATAAGAAAAATGTTCAAAGTTTCATAATAATAAAATAATATTTTATATATATAACAGAAATATATTTTAATAGCACTTTAATAAACTAACAATCAATCTGGAAACTTTATCTTTAAGATAAATAAAAACTAAGGCAAACATGCAAATATTTTGTGCTACCTATTCAAAGTATAAGACACTGATTTTTAATTTTATATTATTTAGTCATAACAACTTCTCACTAAAACTATATAATATATATATTTTAGTTATTCATTTACTTAGAATAAAATGCTTTACTCTTTAAGTATAATATATTTTCCTCAATAAAATTAACTTTATGGACAACATCCCACTATCATTATGAACAGAAAGGAACTGTTCTAATTGTTTAACTTCTTAAAAATCATGTTTCTTTAAAAATTGTAGTCATGTGTTCCAGAGGAACAAAATATGATTTTTTTTAAAAGTTAATAGTTGTTTTGATACAACACTCCTTTTTGAAAAGCTAAGCACCATATTCCTGTAAGTTTTTATCTTTAAAGAACTTTGAGTCAAGGTGTTGATTGTATACTCTGCATGTTACCTAGTCACACATTATAGAAAAAGGAAGTTTATTCTTTTCTAAGTAACTTAAAGGAAAGATTATGAATCTATAATGTTAAATACAATAAGTTTATTGGTTAAATTTTTCTTAAAGTGGTACTATAATAATGAATGCTCTACTAAATACAATAGATCATTTCTATTATGTTTTCATAATAATAATTTACTTGATGGCACTTTTAAAAACTTTTAACACACTATGATAGCACTGGACTTTTCATAGCATTAGAAGCTGTTATATAAGAGTCTTCTCCTATAACTGCCATGTTTTCGAATTTGAGTTTGAATATTAGAAAAATAAGTTTATTTCAAATAGTAATCTCACACTTAGAAAGTTCAAAACAAAAGTATTTTAGTTACGGGGATCTTTTTAAATGACATCATTTTTCTCAGAGGACTACAGTCTCTGTAATGTGATACCTGAATCTATTTTATATTATGAAGGATTATGTTGTTGCTTTTTGGCCAGGACATAAAGTCTTCAGTCAGATAAGTGAAGCAAAATTGTGAACTTCTGAGAAACCTAGTCAATAGTGTAGTTGGTCTCCCCACTAACCTAACCACTCCCCCCCAAAAAAAAGTTAATTACCAGTCTTGGTTGGATTCTTCCTTGCCTCCCTGACATTTGACTGCTGCTAATTCACTGATTAATCTCATTAATGTGATTATAGTAGGATTTGGAGTTGGCTGCCATTGTTCTGTAGACAGTGCTATTCAGCCTGAGCACTTGCCACCTCATTCAGTTTTGCTGTGATTTTTCAAAGGCTGGTTGAGTGAGCTATTGTGAGCAAGGCCACTCTCCCTTTCCCTTTCAGCACCAGGAGCTGTCCGCTGCTGATAGCAATTACATTCAGCAGTGACTGACTTCCTACTAGTTTACTGGCAATGTGAAAATGGCTCACTTTCATCACCTTAATGATTGTGCTCCTTGAGGTAGAAGTAAGAGAAGTCTATCAGGTCACAATTGGATGTTTTGAAGATGGTGGCAAAAAACATATGCAATCTCTATATCTTTATTTTCAATATAATTATTTCACAATGTAAATTGCCAAACATTTTATGAAAATTACTTATATTTATATAATGTGGAAGATGGAATACTTGAAATACTTTGTAGGTATGTTTTTCAAAAAGAAAATTGAAATGTTAAACCAAATATACTTTAATGTTCATAAAATTCCATTTCTGAAAAAAATAGACCTTCTTGTGATAAATTACCACAAGATGAAGTAATAAAGCAGAAAGTATTCATGACACATAAATATCAACTTCTGTCAAACTTGTATCATCCAAAAGAACTTAGATTAATTTTTTTTAATTTGTGTTAGAAGCTGAGATTCAGTTTGCATCTCCAACAATTTGTAATGATATAAGTTGTAGTGTACAAAAATCCATAAGGAAGTAACAGCACACTTGTTCATTTTGAACTACAAAAAAAAAACACAACAGAGCATTATTTAAGGATTTTTTTATATTTTTTAAAGAAATAAACTCTTTAAAGTATTGCTTTTTAGTTATGACTTTTCTAACCTGTGATTTTTTTCTGTCTTGAAAATATTTATACCATAGTACTAAATATATCAAATTATTTCATTGCATACCTTTCATTATTTAAATGACAATTTTTATGTATTGGAGGAAAGAAATCTTATTTTACAACTTTGAGACTTTGTAGTGTTGTTTTAATCTGTTAAAACTACATAAAATTCAAACTTTAGAGTCAATAATCACACTATACTGATTTGTTTCAAGATATTCTTTATGTAAAATTCTTGTCACATAAATTAAATTATGCCTATGCAAAAATTTACTTTCTAGTACTTATTTTCAGTCACATGTACACATAATATATCCATTTCTATCTGTGAGACAGTCTAATTTAAGGGTAATATATCATTTTTTTAAATATAACATCATCTAAATCATTTTCACTTGCTATACATTTTGCTGGCTACATGCTGAGGTTTAAGTTAATTAAACTTTTTGTTTTTCTAAATATTTTTTATTTATAAGCACATTCCCTGGAATAAAATAAAGTATCAGAATTCATTAGTAACAACCAATGTACCCTGACATGGTAGTGGACCTGGGTTGGGTTTCCTTGAGCCCAGGATTATAATTTTCAGTAAATAGCCAGTTTTTGAAATTTACCTTATACTTGGTCTAAAAGTCAACCTTGACTCCTACTTTCACCAAAACTTTCCAAAATGAAAGATGGTAAGTTAAGAAAGTATTCCATTTTTATAAAAGCTATAATCATATTAAATTCAAATTATAATTTTACTGCAATGAAGTAAAGTAGTTTCAACATTTTTAATAATGCCTTTTAATATATGTCTTCTATCCCCCTATTTGGGAAGTGGGGGAGTGGTTAGCATTCCTAAAGAAGCAACAAAACATAAACAAAACCTTCAAAGTGATTAACATATTTTTCAGCAAGTGAAGTTTTATCAAATTGAATTCTTTAACACAACACTACACTTGACATCACTGATACACACTTTTTGAAGCTGAACTAATGAGGAAAGGCATCACAAACTAGGAGAAATATATATGTATATATATATGGGAAACAGTAGTATATATGGGACTATCATGTATGACAAATATAAAATATTCTTGATTGGTATATACCACAAACTAGAGATGTTGCAGATAGTGACCATTACTTCACAAGATATAATACTAAATACTCTATCTTTGTAGTAAATTGTTGTACATCTTTTTACATTGAATTATTTTAAGGTAAAAACTATATATGCTTCCATCAATAAGCTATGTTTCAGTTCAACACAATATTTGAAATATGCCTTGTTTTGACTCCTCTCCTCTCCTCTCCTCTCCTCTCCTCTCTTCTCCTCTCCTCCATCCTTTCCACTCCTCCCCTCCCTCCTCCTTTCCTCCCCACCCCTCCCCATTCCCTCCCCTCTCTCTCCTGTCTTCCCCTCCCCTTTCCTCTTCACCTCTTCTCTCTCTACTCTTTCTCCCATCCTCTCTCTTTGCTCTTCTCTTCATGCCTCTAACTCTGTCTCTTTTTCAACTCTTTCTCTTCTATCTTTAATGCATGCATAGTTCAAGCATACATGATGATTTTTCTATGCCTGTTTTCACAATGAAACAGTTTTAAGCTTTGACATCATAATGAGTCCTCAGGGTATCTGTAGAAGTAATCAGAGATGGCAGAGAAAATATAAGCCAGGTGTTATAAAACTAGAAATAATGCATAAATGCTTATTTATTATGTGAAGAAATACTGATCAGCTTTGCTGTATTGAATTATTCCATTAGGGATTTTTCCCTAAAATATACCTCTTTTAAAAAAATCCCTGCTTTCCACGTGGTGATTATTGGAAAAGTTGGGAGGGAGAGAAAAATATTTTAGTATAAGTGTAAGATGCATTGTGCTGTGTGAAAAGACAGAATGGAACAGAAAATTCTCCTTCTAAACCTTTCTTGCACTCAGACTGCAGTGGCACAAGCAAGGCTGGATGAGAAGGGTATTGTAACCTCTGAGTAACCCGTATGTCTGGTCTCCACACATGAGGCAAAAGGCTTGTGCTTAGAGTATTAACCTTTGAAAGCCAAGAGAGGTGGCTCTTGGTAACTTGGGACTTCTGTGCCATCCTCCCCACGGACGAACGCCACAGACAACCTTGTGCTCTGTGGAAACCCTGCAGTGTTTCATCACTGGGGGTGCCTCTGCCCTCCGCTCCTTGTGCACAGAGAGCTGACAGAGTGACGGCACTGGAGAGCAGGGCAAACGGAGTGGAAATGGATAGGGAAACTTGATCAACATGTGCATGGTTTCTTCAGGGCAGAAATAGCCTAGAGTGTGGAG